GGTATATTTTAAACTTCATTAAATTTAAACTTTAAAAATGATAGCCGCATTGTGTCACTTCCATAGCAATTTTTTAAAAATCTTTTCACAGTGACTACGTGACGTTCTATTAACCAATTCTGAAGTAACGATCTAACGAAGCCGTTATTTAGAAAGTGTTATCGCTCATCTAATTAACGTACGTACTATTCATCTTTGTTTTATCAACGTCGAATTAAAAAGACTCGCTATTTTTGCCTAGGGGAAAGCGTAAGAGTAAAATTGGTCAAGTAAATTCTAGATCTAAAATGTGATTCTCAAACTTTTTCGATTCACTGCTCCCTTTGTTCCATAAAGTTATACCCAACGCCCCCTGACCCATTTTCTCTTGTGAGAAAAGGATTGGAAATATTCTTAGGAGAACTTTTCTATGAATCTCACACTTTGTGCCCTTACTGTACATTGTTCTCATCATCTGGAAACCATTAAACGCAATGTTTCCTCTTATCAGCCCCAATTTTGCCTTTGGTCACCGTTCAATACCCTGCCTCCAGCACCCCCTAGATCTATTCATCGCCCAGAAGGGGGCGTTATTGCCCACTTTGAGAAACGCTGTGCTAAAATAAAAGTCAATGTGTTAGAAATATTCAAGTTGTGACCTTCAATAAAAAATAAATAAAACGTCAACATTTTATATATATTCTGTCGAATTTTTATATACAGAATTTCTCTGCCGTCGCCCCTATATATTTCCTTAATGCCCCCCTGAAAGCCTCCAGCGCCCACAAGGGGGCGTTATCGCCCACTTTGAGAAACGCTGTCTAAAAGAACAACTGAGATCCCCCAGAAGGCCGTGAAATCCGACTTGAGCAACATCGAATAAGAATGGTTTTGTCAAAGGCTGCAGAAATAGCATCACAACGTGAAGCTCGACTTGAAGCTTTTCTCAATTCTTCACTTTTTATCTACTTTCTCATAAAAAACATTCCGTCATGCTTGACGGGAGAATTTCTTGTTAGTAATATTAATTTAATAGTAGCTATGTAGCGGATTAAATTAACAATTTGAAAAAGTGCCAGTCAATGATTTCTAAGTGAAAATGTAACTTTTCATTTTAATTAATTGTCTCTGCACAGTTGACAGAGTTTTATATTATCGTTTAATAATCATTATTTTTTCAATTGAATACATACACTAAAATTTATATACTGTATTTATATGCAGGCAATATTTCAATTCTCTTGCCTAACGTGGCAATACAGTAAGCTATAGAGGTTTACAGAAACTGTGTGCTATCCTGCAACAGATTTACGCATGTTGCAAATGACATTAAATCTTTCATATGGCTGAACCTGGCATTCCATCTGATCCCACAAATGTTCTATTTGTGACAACTCTGGAGACCAGGCAGGCCAATGAATTGTGACAACATGACAGACATCCTGAGATCCTGGCTGTGTATGGCCAAACAATATCTTGCTTGAACATGGTTGTTTACAATCTAGCCATAAAAGGCAAGACAAGACAGTAGGATTTCCCAAATGCTATGCCATCAATGTCCTTCATACCATTCTATGTGTAACTGACTGTTATATGAGATGGCTCCCAGCCATGAAGACAGTGTGCTACTTAATAGTAAAGGTGGGACTGAAGTGCTCATGAGTAGTCCACACTAACAATAGTTATCCATTCCCAAATAGAAATACAATTCATTATTAATTAAACACAAATACAGCCAACTCATAACAGTCCATGCTTCTTCCCTTGTTCCACTGCAAAAAAGCAGATGATGTCCAGATACTAATGGCAGGATGTGTAATAGTCACTGTGCATGCTAATTTAATTCTGTTATCAACCAGTGGTATGAGAAGAGATAGCAAGATTTCAGCATATCTCTGGATGTTGGACAAACACTATAGCATCTGTTTGTGCTTGAAGGAGTGATGATCAAGTAATCATCTCTCCTTGTGGTCTTCCTAGGGCAACCACAACCTGCCCACAATATGTGTGTACCATGAGGTATCTACTGTCCTAGCACTATCTTACAATCAGGTGCCCAGGTGGCAGGCAAGTTGCTGAAACAGCCATCTGTGTTCAATAATGCAACATTTCTCAAACTGTTAGCTTCTGCATACTATATAATCTTTGACAGCATTATACAAGCATGTTTGGCATTCAACTCAAAATTTGGTACAACAAAAATTCTGAGCACTGAACATTTATGATCAGTGTTCACAAATCTGGCTACATTTCCACTACTACTAACCATTAAATACCAAATAATTTCACACTAGACAGTGGCGTAGCATGGGTGTCAGCTGCCCGGGGCAGAGGAAAATTTAGCCCCCCCTTATTTAGGTATCTCAATTTAAAAGACTAAAATTCAGTTTCGTCACAGAATAAGTAATGAAAAATTCCTTGCTAGGTTGCCACCTTTTTAAAATCGTTGACTTGGACGGCAGGTGAGGTTTGTTCGAACAGAAGTTCCTGATGCATGAGCAATATAATTTTGCAATGTGAAGAATAATGTGCAGTGCATGCCGGTTCTAAATCAGTTACAGTTAGCAACTAGGGAGCCTTGGGTGGGATTAACATAAGTAGCCTACATGACCTAGCTCTATTGAATATTGGAGGTGTATATAAGTATGAATGAATCGTACAAGCAAACAGAAAAAAAAAAAAAAAAGGTTGACAGGTTGCGCACGATATCCCCGGGTAAAATTGATAGTTCACCCAGACGGTGAGTCGATTCCCGGACTGTCTGGATGGTAACACTACTTCGTGCTCATTTCAATTAGTCTGAATTGTAGGTGCAAGGGAGATATGAAATAAAATGGTTCAATTTTTTACAAGATATTATTTATTGCAAAATTTTGCCACCCCTGCCGCTCCCACTATGCTACGCCACTGGCACTAGAGGTACCATCCATTTCTTATTTAGATCTTTTAAGTTTACTATAAGAGCACTTAATAGATCTGCTGAAGAACGTCTTAATGAAGACAATAATAATAATAATATTGATTAAGCATTTTAGATAAGGTTTCTACAATTTTCATATTATAGTTATACAAGTTTTAGTAAACTTGAACCAGGTCTGACATTTCAGAATAGCACCATAGTCTTTCAGCAACATAAATCACAATTGGCAAGGTGATTGTATTGTTTAACTACAAAGTTCAGTTTGGATTATGTTGCATTTGGTATGAACTTCATTGAATTTATATATTGGAAACATACAAAATATAGAAAAACAATATATGAAACTAAAAGTCTGAAATGTTGATGTCTAAATTGCAATTAAGTATTATTCAAGGAACTTTTAATTTTAAACATGAGTTGACAACAATTTCAAAATAATTATATCACTACTGGTCTTTTGGCCAAATTTACAGTAAAATAATGTCTGCAAAACTTTTACAATATCTGTAATACTTTGATGGCAATGACTTGAATGATCAGAGTTTAAATCCAATTTTGACCCTTGATTTTTGAAACAAAGGCTAACCATTTTCATAGATTAAATAATCATTTAATTTGTATACTCTCTCAACTATTCAATCATCATAAACTACAATTTCTACAATTATTAGATCAGCTTTTATATATTATGTATAGACTGATCACATATCACAAAAATCTTTATTAAATATTTCAAATCCCAGTATGCACTTTGGCCTTTACAATGGTCCTCATCATCCAGTCTAATTTTTCTTAAGAATTTAACATTATGTATATTTACATTATTCTGTCATTCATTTTTAGTATTGAATTATTATACCAACAATTAACATTAACAGATATATAAAAAAATGTAAGTTATAAACATCCAAAATACCTATAAAGTGATGAAAAGAAGGGCAACTTGGACCAAAAAGTGAAGAAAAAGGACAGTTTTTATATTAATTAATATAACTGGTTTTTAGGTATTTTGCTATTTGGGATGCAATTTTCAAATTGCACATATACATTCCCACTGTTGTGTACCTGTGTGTCATCTGTCTTTTGTTAATCTCAACAGTGGAATTGGATTAAAATTAGAGCAGATAAGAAAAGCTTAGGGACTGAAGATCCCAACTATATACAAACTTCTGGTCTGGGTCAGAAGTCACATGATTTCAATTCAAAATTTTCTCCAGCATGGAGTTACAAGCATGACTCGTTATCATAAGAAGAATTATTATGTACAGGAGCAAAACACTACTAAAAATCAACACCAAATATGGAATGTTTAGGGACCAGAGACTGATTAACTATATCAAAAGTCATGTAACTTTCGGTTTGGACTGAAATTTACATTTAAAAATGGACTTTTTAAAATTAAATGATGATTAAAACTGCAGCCCAACATTGTGATGATGCACAATAAACAATTGCTTGTTATAACTTAGTTATTTTATATCTATTAACATTAATTGTTGGTAAAATGATTCAATACTAAAGATGAATGGCAGAATAAATAAGTGTCAATATAGCTATTGTTAAGTTCTTAAGAAAAATCACAGACCTGCTGAAGAGAGTCATTGTAAAGGCAGAGATGTATACTGGGATTTGAAGTATTTAGTAAAGATTTTGTGGTGTGTGATTAGTCCATATATAATGGTTACAAAAGCCAATTCAATAATTATATAAACATATACATGAACAAAAACCACAAAAAAGAATTACAATTTCTACATTTTTAGAACACTGAAATAAGTATTTTATAAAAGATAACTATAACACCATTTCAAAAAATGTAACATTTCACAATTAACATGCATAATAAAAATATAGGAAAAATATTTTTAAAAAAATTATTTTAAAATTAAAAAATTACATTAATTTAAAATTTGTAGCAATTTTAAAGATTCACCATTAAATTTTTTTCTTTACTTGAATAAAAGTGATTCAGAATTTAATTTTTTTAATATTTTATACTAAATCACACATTCTTTGAAAACATTTTAATGGTTATCACCAAACTACAAAATTTTTTGAACAAAATTTTATAAAATTATTTTTAGTGTAAAAAATTAATAAATGTTAATATAAATTTTTTACACAATAATAATTGCACATTTTGGCTTTTTTTTTGCATTTATATTTTCTTCTTGAGAATTTGTTACATTTGCATCCACACATACACTTATTGATATTACACTAAATATTTACAAAGTGATAAACCTGTAATTATGTATATTCAAATACAGGCAGATCCTGAGTGCATCACATTTACAATAAATGTATTCAAACCTTTTCCCTAAATATCTGCATGTGAATAGAAAGACTGCAATATCAAAAAGCTTTATAGAAAATAATTTTTCAGTTATATACAAAATTTTTTAATTAAAAAATTAATTAGAAAGTTTTATTACTCATTCTAACCATTTATTTAGAGAATTTTTAAACTTAATATTAGCAATAAACTTTTAAACATAACAAAGCTAAACTTTTTGACTTGTTAATGGCAGATATTTTATTTATTTATTTGTAAAATATGAGCATTTATGCAAGTGCTAAGGCCACAGCAGAGGAAGAAGATTTATAAGAAATTTTCTTTATTTTGAAAAAATGAAATGACACACTCTTACAAAAGGCACAGTGTTTACTTAGTGATATATTTTATGTTATGGCATGTGCAGTACGTGTATCCATTAGCTACACGAATAAGCTACAACGATATTTTGATCCCGTTAATGCCACTTGTTTTTATTGTGTGTTCCGTAAAATAATAATAACTTTTAAACGACGAAATTTTCAAATGTTGTATATATACTATCCTAAACACAACACATTTTTAATATTGGAGATCAACAAAAAGTAAAAATATATACACAGAATTTTTAAAGTATTGCAAAAAAACAAAAATTTAAGTTTTTCCTCAGTTTTGCATGCAACAAATAAAATTTACCCTCATTTAAGAAGTTATTAATGGAATATTAATAAATAAATGCCTCATATTTATCAGATATTAAGTGCTTTAAGTGTGACTTAATTCTGTAAGAATTTTTTACAAACGGAAAAGTTTAATCATAGGAAGCAGATTCTGTACCAGACCTCTCACATATTAGTTGCTGGAGAAGATCTGCTAATGGTTCATATGCTCTTCGAGCTGCATGACGGGTCAAATGACGATAGTCATACATATCATGATGACTAATTGTACCATCTATTTGCACAAAACCCGGATCCAAATTAACTACTTGAACTTGAGAAATGCCATGGAGAATGCCTTCTAACTGTTTGTTAACTTCTTCTATCTTTTTTCTCACAGGATTTGGATTCTGACCAGAAGGAAACAATTTCTAAAAATAAATAAAATTAAAATGAATAAACTAGTAATATAAAGTTACAGAAAATGTCTCAAATATTTGTCATTTTAATTAAATTCTGCTAATTATAATCTTCAATGCAAATATGAAACCATAATCTAACAAACACTATGCTATACTTTATATCTATTTTAAACATTCAATTCCACTAAACACCTTTCAAATTGTTCTATTAATTCAAATCTTTGCCAAATCACGTGATGTTTACCTTCTTAAATATTTTTATTTTCACACAGTATATATAATTGATACCAGAGTATAACTGTTATTAATTGCATTATTTATAATAATTAGTAATTAAAAAACTTGAAAAGTATGATAAATCATTCCTTTTATAATACTAAAAATATTTTTCCAAAACATCATTTGGCTCAAACTCTTGAAAAAGTATTTATTCAATCAATCATTCTTAATAAATCTTGAACTGATTATTCTACTAAGTATACAGAAACAAAATAAAATTTACACAGAGTGAATCTAAATATATTTAAAAATTCAGGAGCTGATTATTTGAATAATTTCAACTATAAAACTGCATATGAACAATGTTCAAAACAGCATAGTATTAAAATTACATGATGTTTAATGTGTGGCCTCTTTGAAAATGTTGAATTACAAAATTGCATTGTTACATACTGTGAAATAATGACACACCCCTGGTATTTGTGAATGTGCACACCAATCAATGCAGCATAGGATAAAATCCTCTATTACTGTTGGTGGTGGTAATTTTCAACATTATAATCATGTCATTTTGAACATATGATTACAGGTATACCTCGACTTACGTTGTTTCGAGTAACATCATTTGCCAAAAAAGTATATGGAAAAATAAAAATCAAGTTTAAGTCATTTTATTCGACTTTACGTCTGTCCGCCACAAATATTGAAGTCGTAATATCACTAGAAAAACGTTTAAAGCACATAAAATCATATTAAAATATATATATTTACAAGTATGTACTGTAAATACAGTACATGTATTTGTAAATTTAGAATACTTTTTTCTGTACTATATTAAAAACTAAAATTTATTTGTTTGTAAGCTTAAAATAGATTTTTATTAACCATATATTATTAAAAATGCATTAATAAATAAAATACAGAACCGGGATTGGTAACTTATGGTTTAGCCTAGTGACAAGTATCAGGTCAGTTCATAAGTTTGTGCATATTTTTATCTACAAAAAAAGCAACAAAAAATTTTATTTAAATCTTATTTCAATCTATAAAGTATTCACCACTATTTTGTACAATTTCTTGCCATCTTGATGGTAGCTTTTTAATCCCGTCTTCATAAAATGATTTCGGTTTTGAATCAAAATATTCAGAAATAGCCTTTTTTACATTGTTCTCATCCTCAAAAGTTTTCCCTTTTAAAAAATTCTGCAAACTCCAAAAAAGATGATAATCACTGGGAGCAATATTTGGCAAATATGGTGGATGAAGTAAAATTTCCCAGTTGAAACTTTTGAGTTTCTCTACAGTTATTTTTGCAGCATGTGGTCTGGCATTGTCATGTTGCAAGAGAACCTGCTTTCTGTTCACTAATGATGGTCAATTTTTTTTTTCATTTAAATGCTCTAATTGATCACAATACATTTGAGCTGTAATTGTTTGATTAGGTTCTAACAGGTCAAAGTGAATTACACTTGACATATCCCACCAAACAGACAAAAGAATTTTTTTTGGATGCAACCCACCTTTTGCAGCCTGTTTTGGCTGCTTGTTGCGATCTGTCCATTGCTCATATATATACAGATGCCCAAGGTCATGTTACACAAGTGAGTCGTTTAATATAGGTAACTTATACAAAGACTATGTATAAACTATTCCGTGCAAAAAATTTTTGCCCATTTTGACAGGTGCCCGTTGAATGCCTAAGCAGTTTTCACTGTATGTTTATGTTACTGTGAAGGACCAATATCTGGTGAATGTCAGCATTCACACAGTCATTTCGTGTATGTACAAAATATTTGCTAAATATCATTATTTCTCACTTACACCTGAAAATGTCAACATTCAGCATGCACTAATGGTGAATGTTAAATAAAAATATTTTTATTACATTAAGACAAAAATGAAACTTTTTAATATGTCAAAATAGGAGAAAACTTAAGTAACAGCACATGTAAATAAACTGTTGAACCTAAAACAAACAGTACATTCTTAATCATTTAAGAAAATAATACAATAATAAACTTACACATAAATTATGTGATTAACATTATACAATCTTATTTATTGCAACAGCTTTAACTGTTATGGCACTTTGAATTGCACAAGAGTCCCTTGCTTTTACAACTGCATTTATTCGTGGAACACTTCTTTTTGCAATGACAGTGTGTATAGCCTTACCCTCCACTTTTCAAATTAGCTGCAGCTGCTTCTCTCAGCGATATTTCTTGAGAAGAAATGTCATCTGTGGAAAGTAACTTTTCTTTACAAATTACGAACTGATTATGGGTATAAAGCTCCTTGAGGGTATCATTTTTGTTTGCTAATTTATAAAAGTTGGAGTCTTCTATTCCAACAACAACCAGCAACACATTTCGGGCATCTGTATGGCAACAGTCAACATCAGGGGCTTGTATTTGTACGATATAACCAATTTAAGCAGAAGGAAACGATGAAGAATTTGGCGACAAACTGTCACCTCTCTATTGACATCAGCTTCCCGAGTGTTGTTTCGACCTCCACCAAAGCTTATCTGTGCTTGTCGACATACACCGGCGATTGTTCGAATGTATAATAATATAGCCAAATATTCGATCTTTCACCAACGTATTTTGTATGTGTCAATATTCACCGGAGAATATCAGCATTCTCTAATTTCGGTCTTTCACAGTAACATATATAGATATACATACATACAGTGAAAACTGCTTAGGCAATACAGGTATATATATATATATATATATACCTGTGTATATATATATATATATATATGTATGTATGTATTCACAGTTCATGAAAAACACAGGGACGTTATACAGAGATATATATATGTTGCCAAATGCAGTAGTGATCGAACGTGACAATGACGTTGCTGGCCTAATGAAAGTGCTAAACTTCACCTACAGTTCACAGGAGTGGAGACTTTTCATAGATGCATCGAAAACAAGTCTCAAGGGTGTTTTGCTCCACAATGGAAATAAAATGCCCTCTGTTCCAGTTGCTTACACCAGCTTGACTAAAGAGAATTACAAATTCTTATGAAAGATGCTAAATTCATTAC